GGTCTGGTTTCAGAAAAACACAAGTTGGAGGCAAAATCTAAGTTGGAGGCTAAGTTTTAGACTCTGCCACTTACTGTTTATGTATCCCAGGAAAAATTCGTTTATGTCAGTTTCCTCACATAGTAACAGTGATAATAACAGGACCTATCTCCCAAGGTTTTGAGAAATTTCCATGAGCCAAAAATGAATAAAAAACATGTCAGGTCCAAATTCCTCAAGTAATATAAGTTTTTATATTTCTTCTTATTAAAAAGAAATAATACTATTCAAGTCCACTGGACTCCAAGTCACATTTGGCTGTGAAAAATACGAGACTAACTTACTACATTATAATGGATATCATAACAGCACAAATTTGAAAAGTGTTTCATCATATTAAACTGGTATACAGTAGTTCCCTTATCTATGGGGGATACATTTCAAGATCCCCAATGGATTCCTGAAACTGGATAGTACTAAATCTTATATACACTATGTTTTTTCCTATACCTCCATACTATGATAAAGTTTAATTTATAAATCAGACACAGTAAGAGATTAGCAATAATAAATAACAAAATATAACAATTATAAAAATATTCTGTGATAAAAGCTACATGCATGTGGTCTTTCTCTAAATACCTTATTGTACTATAATCACCTGTTTTGGGATTATGGTTGACTGCAGGTAACTGAATTCATGGTAAGGGATGACTACTGTAGTTGTGTAACAGAAAACTTGATTAAAACAGAGTTAAAATTTAATATCATAAAATATAAAAATAACAGGTAATTATTCTGAGCTTTTCATTTCACATTCATTATTCCACAAATATTCTACAGATAAAGATATAGAAGTTCAAGTAAGCAAATTAATTATCCAAGCTCATACAGAGAAGTTGCTGTAGAGATGAAATCAGTCCTAAGCCTTCCAAGACTTCTAAGACGGGTGTCACATTTTTTACTTACAGATTCATTTAATAGTCATCACATCAGTTGACTCTTGCTCTGTGACAAACCATCCTCAAACTTAGAGACTTACAACAACTCACACTGTTTTTTCCCTCATGACTGTGAGTTGGATGGGATATTCTTCAGGTCGAAAAAACCTTGGCTGGGGCTGGATGATTTAGGAGAATCTCACTCACACAATAAATGTCTGGTTGGACTAAGACAGATGTTAGCTAAGATGGCCCATCTCTGCTGTCATGCAAAAGGCTAGCCTGCGTGTTTTCAAAGGGCAGTCTCACAGGGGTCAAAGAGTCATAAGAAAACAAGCTTCAAAGCATGAGACATTTCAAGCCTCTGTGCAATTAGCCCCACTGCTCCATTGGTTAAGACAGGTCATACAGCCAAGTCTCAGGTCCCAGGTCCCAGAATACAAGGAGACATGAAAAAACACAGGATTAGCAGTAAACTTGCCAACATCTTAATAACCCTTAGTTCCGAGTGGCAGGAGTCTAGATAATTTTTATTTATTTTCATACTTTTTTGTATTTTCCAAAATGATCGCTTACTACTTTTATAATATTAAAATAGACATCTCTTAAATAATTTATAAAATCAGACCATTTTCTGGAGAACCACAAGTCCTGTGTGAGCTCATTTCTTTTTGAAATGGGAATTAAGACTTCTCTCTAAACCGCAAAGATAATGCTAGCGTTCTCAGGGTTTTCTTTTGCTTTCTCCTCTTATTGCATCACACACCCTTCCATGATGATCTTGTGAATTCTGGTCTTTTTATTTTAATTTTATATGCTGATAATTCCCAAGCTCATACACCCAGCAGAGTTCTCACACAAGCACCTCTGCCCTGTCTCTCCAAATGCATGCTGGACCTATTGGTTTGGTTGGGTGTCTGCCTACTCTTAAGATGCATGTAGAAGGGTTATCTTTGCTCGCCTGCTTAAAACCACTTACAGGACCCAATCTTGCCCTCCTCTTCCACTTCTCTTCTCTATCTCACTTTCACTCATTCTGTGATGCCTGTAGGCACCTTTATTGTAGTTTGTCTTTGGGTGTATTTTTCTACCTGGTTTTTCCAGAGCTGCAAGCTCTCTCTTTTGCCACGAGCCTTTGTATCTGCAGTTTCTCCTGTCTGAAGCCCCAGAGGTACATTCCCTCTTTTAATGGAAACTCATTTTTATGATCTTGGCAAAAGCATCCATTTTTGACCACTAAAAACAATTATGTTCCCAAACTTTAAAACATTTATCTTGGCATGTTATTAGAAATGATCAGCTCTGGCCAGTCTCGGTGGCTCAGTCTGTCATCCCAGCACTTTAGAAGGCTGAGGAGAGTGGATTGCCCGAGGCTGGGGGTTCGAGACCAGCCCGGGAAACTTGGAGAGACCTCATCTCTACAATAAATAAAAAAATAGCCAGGCAGGGTAACTACTTCTTGCTACTTGGAAAGCTCAGGGGGAAGGATCGCTGGAGCCCAGTAGGTCAAAACTGGGGTGATAGTGAGCATGCCACTGCACTTCAGCCTGGGCGACAGAGTAAGAGTCCAACTCAAAAAAAGAGTATAATTTAGAAATGATCAGCTCTTTTTCATCTTCCATGTTTCAAATTAAATGCCACTTTCTTATAGAAGTATTCTCTGATCACCCAAGCATGGGTCATATTCCCTTCTTAAATTTTGAGAGTAACTCCAATTTCCTTTGCAGTGCAATTTATAGGGTTATATGATATTGTAGCTTTCAGTTAAATTTTCTGTGTTTCTCATTAAACCATTAAATTAGACTGAAGTCACCGAACATGTTGGTTATGCTTGCCCTGGTATTCCAATTGTCTAGAACAATACCTAGCACATACATATATATGATATATTCAGCAAAAATTATTTAATTGTTCAACTACGAAACACCCCATAATAGCCATTTCAGTGGAAAGGAACACTGACAAGAAAGTAACAATAAGCCGGGCTCAGTGGCTCAGCCTGTAATCCCACGCCTTTGGGAGGCTGAGGTGAGTGGATTGCCTGAGCCCACGGGTTCGAGACCCGCCTAGGCAGCGAGACCTCATCTCTACAATAAATAAAAAATCAGCCGGGCGTGGTAGCGCGCACCTGTAATTCCGGCTACTCGGAAGGCTGAGGCGGAAGGATCGCCGGAGCCCAGCAGGTCGAGGCTGCGGTGGCCGGGAGCGGCCACTGCCACTGCACTCCAGTCTGGGCGACAGAGTGAGACTCCAACTCAAAAAAAAAAAAAAAAAAAGAAAGAAAGTAACAATAAGAACATGCCATAAAAATTTAAATGCCTCACATATTTTGGAGAATGTTTTAATTCTTTGCTACACTGATATTGGTTATTGTTAAGGTGGAACTCAATGAATGATATTAAGAACACATGACCTAGTGCATTCAGAGTTACCAAGCCTAGAAATGAAAAACAAATGACATGTAGAAAACTCACAGTTATTGATGGTAGAAGGCATAGTTTCCCAGAAAACTCCAGGAAACAAACGTACCTGAATTCTTAAGTTTTTTGTTCCTCGTGTTTTTAAAGTGGCAAACAAAAAATGAGTTTATTGACATTTTCCTTCTGTTCATTCTTGTCAAAGACAACAGTAGGCATTTTCAGGTAGATTTATCCAAAAGGAAATTCTAAGATTAAATAATTATAAAACTAAATAAATTATAACCATACATGTAAACTTCGATTTATTAATTGTATTTAGTCATATGAAGCTTCATATAGTAACCAAAAACAAGTTAAAGCAACATAAATACGTTATAAAAATACCAAGAAAACACAGGCTTTTAAACCATTTATTAGCATAGAGTTTATCTGGAACAATTGTGAAACAGTCTAGATGCTTTTATTTTTTAAAAATAGTAGCTTATTGTTTCATAAGATAATTAAAATTATGTGTTAGTAGTAGGATCTTTTTCTACAAAGAAATTAATATGTTAAGTTGGAAATTCTGTCTAAAAAAGCTTGCCTCTGGCGAATATTTCTATCAAATTATAATGCCATTAAACCTATGGACTTTGGAGTAAGGGTGAGTTTAGAAGTTCTCTTCCAAATGAGAAACTCCCTAAGTCTCATTTTTCTCACTTACATAATTAAGACAATTATGTCTATTTCATAAGGATATGGTGGGATTCATTTTTTCATGCAACTGATATCTACTGAGTGCACATTATACAATAGGTATTATCTAGTAACAAGCAAGATGCACACAGGCCATCTCTACAATAAGCTTACCACTGAACGAAAGAGATTTCATTAGTTAAAGTGCATGACAAAGCAGTTAGTCCAGCACTTTGCACATAATAGTCAATAAATGTCAATCATTGTGTTATCATTACTTCTCAAAGAAGTAATAGAGCATGCCATGGTAAAATAAAAGAAAAAGGAAGCTGGCTGTCAATTTAGTCTTTTATATATATATATAGTTGTGTATATATTATATATATGTATGTATACACACACACACATACACACACACACACACACACACATACACACACATAAAATATGCATAGATAGGCCAAGATTTCCAAATAAACGAATATGACAATGATTCTGCAATTTTCGCTAAATTTCTCATTTTAAAAGTATAAAATCCAATACAGTTTTTCTTTTCTTTTTTTTTTCACATAAAAATGCATAAACATTTGTTATTTTATTACCAATAGTGCTACAATGAACAATGCAAATTTTGTGGTCTAATTTTGTTGAGTTCTTTGTGGGTTTTCTTTTTTTACATTTTAGTAACTAAATGGTAAACTTTTGTCAGTGTACTTGCTTGTCCTTACAGACCCAAGTCTGTCTGCTGGCAAAAACGAAAATAAATGAAAAAATTCAGACCCTGCTCGAACCAGAAAAAAACAAATTACAAATTTAATTGTTGGGCAGCACATAATTAGTAAGGCAGGACCTCAAATGGTGACCCTTTGCGTAAGCCAATTGCCAGAGTCTCAAGGAATTAAATCCAGGGTGCCTGAGCCACATCAGTTCTGCAGTTATGTTGAGTATTGTGCTGAAACAGCCATACCCCAAGAAAAGGGAAGTATTTTTAGAAGGCTTGCTGAGCAGGGTTGTAGTTGAAAGTAGATGACAGGTGAGGCCTTTCTTCTAATTTGTCATATTCCAGATGGAACTCCTTAGCTACTTTCCTCCCGTTAAGACAGTCAAAGAAGTAATATGTTCCCCTCTCATATGTATTGGTTTTCATTGTTGGCTCCATGCCCAGTGCCCTGGTAATCCATACTCGTTCTTCTTTGTGGTATCTCCAATAACGGTTAAAAAGCTTTACTGCAGCTAAAAGTTGTAGTGCATCTTCTCCATTCATGTAATACAGATAGAAGAGAAGATCTTCTCCATATCAACCAAGTTTTATTGCAGTCAGCTTATCCCTAATGTGAATGTTTGTTAAGTACTCAGATGGAACATGGAAGTCTATGTTTTGAGGTCGACAAGGTGAAGATGCCCAGGGTGATGTAAATTTGGGGTAGAGATTTTCAGGAGAGTTCAGATTGAGGCCTAATGTTGTTAAGTCACTTCCTAATGCAAGATGTACCATTCCTGGGTCTGTCTCTGCTGCCCCAATAAATGTTAACAGGTCAATCATTCCAAATTGGTCCGTCACAATCCCTTGAGGAATGTTAGTAACCCGACCATCAGGTAACACCTGGATCCCTTTTTTCTGCTGGTTATTATTTTGTGTTGTTGAACTTTTATCTCCAGGGAATTTGGGTCCATCTGTACTTGAAGTTGTCTTGCCACATGTATTCAAATTAGATTTACTGTCATCATTACTTGATGTTGGATCTTTATAGCTGGAACCAGGTAATGCTGGAAAATCTTCGCTGGGTATTGAGAAGACCTGGGATTGCTCATTTGCTGGTTTTGTTACCATTCCCACATAAAGAGCTCTTCCAGTCAAGGGGTTTATTAATGGAGTTGGGTTACCACTTCCTTCCCCTCTGTTTCGGCCTGCCAATGCTGGAAAATCTGAAAGGTCCAATCCTGTCACATTTTCACTTACATATCTTTTTCTGACCGATGTGGAAACACAGAAGACTGGCTGTAGTACATGTTTTCGTCATGGTAGTCAGTGTCGACCCCCTCTACAAACTTCTTTCTTGAAGCACCAAACATGCTGTTTGTCACCTGGTAGTTTCTTTTCTCAGATAATTTACATCCATCAGTCCTCACCATAGAGTCGAGTCCTTTCCTCACAGTTCTGGAGGCAATCAAATACAACTGTCACTCAAGGGTCGTGTCACAGGAAGGACACCCATCAGTTCTCCCTCTTCACAGAAATAGTTTTGAAGCCCTCCAGGCTTCAGAAGCGCATGAATTTTCTTGTCCTGCGGATCACAGTTTTTCTTGATACAGAGGCTTAGGATTCAAACTAATTTAATAAAGATTTTAAATGAAGTTGGAATAGTCAGTGACTCATAGGTCAGAAGTGGGTGGCAGGTGACAGAGGGGAAGGCCTCGGGCAGAAAAGAGACACTCAGTACCAGATTTCCATTCAGAATGCTGCAAGGTATTATTTCTTCTGTTATTTTAACCTATGGTTGATGTATAAGTCACATTTTCCCACACTTCTATACATAAAAGTAGTTAAATAATCTATGTAGAGAAAAATTGTCAAGCACCCCAAGTCCAACAAAACCAAAGGTTAAGTAATTTGGGGAGAAAAAATAAGATCTTAAGATTATGCTTAAAGATTCTGGATCTTTCTTCAGCCCCCAAGAAAACACGCCATAGCAGAATCTTTTGCCTCTTAGTTTACCAAGAACTATATAATGCTTATAATTTAGCTTAATACCCAAGATTCCATGTTATACAAACATAATCATTTTTTCCTAACCTTAAGATGTTTATTGATTGTTCTTAGTAATTTGAAATTAAACAGAACAAACACGAAATATATTTTTAAGCTTGTATCTGATTAAGTCAAAGATTTTATTTTATTTATTCATTTATTTTATTTTATTTTATTTTTTTTTGAGTTGAAGTCTCACCCTGTTGCCCAGACTGGAGTGCAGTGGCTGCTCCCGGCCACCGCAGACTCGACCTGCTGGGCTCCGGCGATCCTTGCACCTCAGCCTTCCAAGCAGCTGGAACTACAGGCGCGCGCTACCACGCCCGGCTGATTTTTTGATTTATTGTAGAGATGAAGTCTCGCCAAGTTGCCCAGGCGGGTCTCGAACCCGTGGGCTCAGGCAGTCCACTCACCTCAGCCTCCCAAAGTGTGGGATTACAGGCTGAGCCACCAAGCCCGGCAGTCAAAGATTTTTATAGGTTTTCTTTGCTTTTCTTATCATTATACTCCTGAATGCATTAATATCTAAGCAAGAATTCTCTGGCCTATGATTTCAATACAGGAATGTTGGGGGTTTGTCTTCCCATCTTTAATTCAACTATTATAAATTGAAAAAATATATTTGAAGGACACAAATTATTTACCAAAAGAATATGTTTAAACCCAATAACCTACTCAAAAGTATTCAGAGGTTGAATAATTAATAATAATAATAACAACAACAACATCAGTGGTTGTGGAATAAATCTCTTTGTTTAAATTTAGAGACAATAAATGGCTTTGTTTAAATTGAAAATACTAAACAAAATCTTCACTGATATCAGAGGATAAAATAACAAATTAATGATATACATAAGGTATGGTATGTTAGGTCAACTAACATAAAACTATATAAGATATAGGCAGGCAACATTATTTCATAATTTCATAAGTACAGGGATGTAGCATTAAATGTATACATTAATATTTTTGTCTCTCTTAAAGTTTCCAGAATAACAAGGGTACCTGCATGATCGATGTTTATATACCTAACCCTGAAATGCATCCCATCTTTATAATAAAAGTTAAATTAAAAAAAATCTTTACAAAGAAAAAAAATTTCCATAATATAAGGGAAACTCTTAACAAACTAGACATTCCTAAACTTATTTTGGTAATTTGGTTATACAGATATAATATTTTTAAAACTTTTAAAAGAAATGAAAAGCAAATTGAAATGATATTGTTTTCAGTATAAGTCTACCTCATAAAGTTGTGCCTATAACAGATAACTTCCACTATGATTAGGAAAGGAATGCCATATATTAATTAAACAGCCAGGATGAGTGGAGGTCATAGTATGTGCCACTCAGTTGACTAAATCTTGTAGGTGGATCAAAGCTATTTATTTCTCAATATATACTGGGTACTTGATAAAGAGCAGACATGGTGCTGAACACTGAGTATATCACAGGAAATATCATAAAAAGTCTTTATCCTATGAGTCTGGCAAGACTGATGAGTAAATAGAAAGTTTAAATTCAATGAGATGCATACTATTGTGCAGGAAATGTAGGGTTACATAAAAATGAAAAATGCGCAAAACCTATTTGATGTACATTTGAAAGGTTTAGATAGAAGGTGTGAGAACACAAATGTCTCTGGGGGAGAGGTTAGGTCATGTTTTAAAAGAAAATATTAGAAAGATAAACTGAGCAAAGCTCATCAGAATATTAACCTCAACTGGAAAGTATGAGCTTGATGCTGTAGGCAAATCAATCATGGGAGTGACAGTTAGAAAGCTTCTTTGAATGTTGTGGTGTGGTGATGATCCAATGAAAGGAACGCAGTGGAATAAACAGCAAAATCAGCATGAGAGTATCTAGGTTGGGGTGTTGAAAGCCTGGGTTCTTCATTTTAGTTAACAATGACAAGGAAAAAAAGAATCACAGAGATTTTTGGAAAAAAGGATGAAATAATATCTTGCAGTAACTTGGATGGAATTGGACAACATCATCCTAAGCGAACTAACTCAGGAGCAGAAAACCAAATGCTGCATGTTCCTACTTATAAAAGGAGGCTAAACTAAGTATATGTGACACATAGAGAATGGCATAATGAACACTGAGACTCAAAAGTGGGAGCCAGGTGTGGAGAGATGAAAAAATTACCTATTGGGTACAATGTGCACTGGTGGGGGTGGTAGATACTCTTAAAGCCCAAACCCAAAACTCTCTGTATCTTCCAAAGGTATTAAAATAAAAAAGAAAAGAATCAAAAGACACAGTGACATATCAGATGCTGTGAATGGTAAACAAAGAGTGAAAGGCAATTCTATAACTTGTGTTCAGGGACCTAGATAGTGCACATAGTTTTATCTGGAAAGAAAAAGTGATTTGGGGAGCAAAATTCTGAATTAATATGGGATCCGCTAAACTTAATATATATCCACAATTTTATTCAACCTATAATATTGAGAGTTGAGAGTAGACAATAGACGAATGCATGCAGGAAACTAGGGCTGAAGATGTCATTTGGGGGTAATCTTCATAAAGATCAGAATTGATCCCAAAGGCTTGGATCGAAGCTTGAGTGTTCTCCCGTCCAACAGCTTGGAGAAGAAAAGGAAGTCATCAAAGACATACAGAAGCCACAAGCAGGGGCATGGGAGAATCAGCACAACTCACCGAAGCAGAAGAAAGTCATAGGAAGAAGGTATTTTCAAAACTCTAAGTGTACCCAAGAAACATAAGAGCTAAGGGACAGTTACTGGCTATAGAGGCAAAAAGGTCACTGGTAATATTTTGATAGCACTTTCAGAAGTTCACGGGGTTGAAAGAAAGGGAAATTTGATCTCACATAGTTGAAATGGAGTAAGTAGATATAAAATAGAAGCAAATGAAGTCTCTTTCAAGATTTCCATGTAAATGAAAAGACTAAAAGGTAGTTAGAAGAAGTAGCCAGGTCAAGGAAGTTGCTTTTTTTAATTAATGTTTTAATGATGTATATACTTGAGTAAGTTTGGAAACAACCTTTACATTAAAGAAAATCAGTTGGACATCAGAGAAACAACAGTGAATAAATCATAATGACTATCTTCAAGAAGCTCATAGCTCCATAAATTCTTCTCCAAAGAGTCTGAACAGAAACACAGGTGGATGAAGATGAGGTCCTATGAAAGAGTTTTCACCAAAATTCAGTTTGCAGCATAATTAAGAGGCAATGTTTTCACTAAAAATGAGGGAGAGAAAATTAAAGCATGGTTGGATGATTTAAGGAGAAAAGAGTGATAGCCAGGATAACCAGGAGAATAGCTTGGTGACATTTGAGAGGTGAATAAAAGGGTTGACGTGATGACAGGCATAATCACGATGAAACCCAAAAGAACGAATCTGTAATTGTCACACGGTTGTGCATTTGCTTTCATCAGTTATTCCATGTTCTGACAGCAAAAGCAGAAGGAGTAGGCAATGGAGATAATAGATATTTGAGGAATGATGTTTAAGGAATAAGCATCTTTGAAGATGAAAAAGAGCATGTAGTAATCTAAAGTTAGATTACACACATAAATTCAGCAAAGTACAGAAATTCTAGTCCCATAAATGAAGTGCCTGAAATACTAATGATATAATGCAGTTAATATAATCACTGCTGATTGGCATCAATAACAAATACGGAAGATATGATGACGGTAAAAATCTTAATGGTTCATTTACGCTGCTAATCTGGTCAGTTATTTAGTGCAGCATTTGGGAAGTAACAAAAATAACTTTCAGTTCTGCTTAAGAGATCATACCTACTCTTGTCAAGACGTTTCCCAGTTCTCACAGAGCAACTTACTCCATGGTTAAAACAGACAGAAGTTGACTGATCAACCACCCAAAGTCTAAAATGGGCCTTGATGCTACATCTTGATTTTTGCCCCACATCCTTCTGGAGAAAGACCACAGCTAGACTCCTCAATGCCAAGAATAGGTATAAGAAGTCTCCTGCAAACAGGATCTCCTAGTTCTGAAGAGTAGAATGACTCTATCAGCCTTCTGTTAGCCCGTGTTTCTCTGAATTGTGATGTAAAAATCATGATAAAAATCTGGGAATGGATAAGTTTAGAAATTGAAAGCACATCCTTTATTGAGACAACTAACAAATAACTTTTTGAGGATTCTAATTTTATATTTTCCAATCAAGTATTATCATTATATATTTTAGAAAAACTAAAATCAAGTCCTTTTTTCACCTTAGTTCCAACCAAAGTATACTAAAAACTCTACTCTTTGTGAAGAAGAAATGAAGAATCTGAAGGGCAGAAGAGACAGCTTTCCTAGTTAGACATATTTGAAGTCAAAAAACAGGAACACACAAAAATAAGTTGAAATTAAAAATAGATGTTCTTGTAGGTATGCAATAGACAATCACACATTCATTTATGGCTAAGAAATGAAAGAAGCTGAATGCCACAAGGACTGGGCCCA